ATTTATAAATTTTTCTTGTCGAGATCTTTTTAATAATTAAAGAATTGTCATAATCAGAGCTTTGATATACTTCTTACATCACATTTTTTATTTCCTTTTCTTTTCTCTCTCTTCTCTTGTCTTTTTGTGTCATCTCATCTTTTTTTTTCTAGTCATTGAATTTTTTTTTTCCTTTCATGGTCATTGTTTTGTATTGACTTGCTATATTTAAATACTAGGTGGGGAATTAATTTGAATGTGAATGCATGGATATGCAGGAAGAAAAAATGAAATGTACTAGTTATGTAGATACTATTTGTGCAACACACCTATCTAGTTGTATAAATAGTACTTCGTGTATTGACTTGTGTAAATGTGACCTATGTAAGGACTTTAAATGTGTTAATTTATGATTTTTTTTTAGCCATGCTAGTTTGGAAAAAAAAATTTCATTGTGCATGCTAATTTGGGAAAAAACTACCTTATTTTTCCCTTAAAAGATCATTCATAATTGTTATCCTAATTATTTTTCATACTGATCACCATAACTCTATAATATTATTATATTTTTGTTATTCAATAACATTAATGAAGAGATAATCTAGGCTAAAAGATACAAAAAAACAAACTTGATGATGGGACATACTTAGTAAGTATGCAATGAAGTAGGGGCCAAATAAAAAAAAACATGATTTAGTTATGAGCTAAACTAATATTACACAAAAGAATAACAAAGTTTGGATAAGATGAAAAGAAAATTAAGATATAGAGTAAATATAATCCAGATTTGTAAAAGAAAAACTAATAGGGCACATGGAGTAATGAAAAAGAGTAGTTAAAGTCATGTATTTTTAAAACTAGGAAGAATGAAGAAGATAGGTGGTTACTAGATAATTTTCTATAGTTTTTTCTATTTAAAGAAAGCTAAACAGAGAATAATGAGACAATTAAAAAAATACAACAACTCAACAAATAAACAATAACTGCTTTGTAGTTCAATCAGATTTGAAGGAACCTCAAAACCTATTTTATCAATAGGCAGTAACCAATAGGTAGTAATCAATATGCAAATAACCAGCAAGCAAGTTACTTGTAAATAATAATCAGTAGGCTAGTAATTTTCATTATCAAGAAAACCAGAAAACACAAAAAATATCAATTCATGTTCTTTTGTCAAGGCTTTTCGGTGTGTAGTTATAATAATAATAAAAAATGATAATCTAATGAATGCAAGTTCTTTATTCTTGAATTGTTAAAGTTCTTATTTACCTTTAAAGCATTAAAGTATTTGATTACTTCTTGAGAATTGAGTTATATTATGGCATTGCTATAGTCTAAAATTACAAATCTAGAATTGTAGTATAAGTCTAGAATTTAAATCTAAAACACACATTGCACACGTTAAACTTAATATCCAACTTAAAAAAACCAAAGTCCTCTTAATTAAGGACATAGTAGGAGTGTTATATATATTTATTTGAAACTATAACATCAAAAGGATCAAAATTGTTAGAAAATTTAAAAGAAAGAGAAGAATTAATGGATATCCTTATTGAACAAAAAAAATAAAGAATCAATCCTTCAAGGGAAAGAAAACATAAAATGAAGAAGGAAGCTATTTTATGATTGTAGAAGATAGATATTTACTATTTGAATTAAGAGTAGAACAGGGTAATAAGATACTCGAAGAGAGGTATAAACGTCTTTCTAAAGAATTTAAGAAGAAACATATAATCAAAATAAAGATAATTGAAAATCATTACAATAGAATTGTATTAGTGAATGAGATATCAACTCATGCCATTCTAGAGTCCAATATTAGAGAAAAACAAAATGGTGAAAGAAGTTTGGAGCATGAAGTAGGAAAACTACAAAACTTGAATAAGGAGTCTTATTAGGAAATGATTAAGGCTATTGAAGATCTCAATACAAAATTAGATTTCAAAATAAAAAAAGAAAATGATAAAGTGATATTTAATTTTAATTATACTACTGAATAAGGTTTCCAAACAAGTGATAGTTGAGGTTAAAAACTATTTAATTAAGAATGTAGAAAAAGTGTTAAATCATAAAAAGAATGAGCCTAAACAAATGTGACAGAGTCCTGTTGGCTGGAACAATTCAGTGCTAGGAATAATTCTTTATTTGAATTAAAAGTCAACAAAAGAAAACCTTTAATAAAAAAGAAAGTTGGGAGTAGTTTGAAAAACAAATTTGTTAATTATAAAAGTTTATCACTAAAAGATATAGATGAGACAATAATCCTAAATGACTAAAAAATAAATGGACCTCCAAGTAGAATTGATCTAAAGTATATTCTAGATATAATGGAACAAGCCTATAGACTCAAAGTGTAATAAATAAGAGTATATTCTAGATAAAGCCTATAGACTCAAAGTGTAATAAATAATTAGGCCAACATATAAATGATCATATCCAAATTACATTGATAGAATGAAACTTTATCCTAGTAATTTTAAGTTTCTATACTTTAAATAATGACCAAGAGACCATGTCTATTACATAACATATAGTAAGATTTATTTGCTAATGTAAGAAAGTATTTGATCCTAACTTTATAAAACTAAATTTATTTTCAAATTCATTAATTGGAGATGCTTTTACTTGGTATATAAATTTTCCATCAAATTCAATTCAGAGTTGGAATATATGCAAATTATATTTCAAGCTTCTCTATGACAAACTTAGAATTTATATTGGCTGATTTAGTGAAATTAAAGCAATATTATGAAGAATTGTTTAAAAACATTTAAATAGATTCATGGAAGCAAGAGCAAAATGTTGGGCTAAAATTCTAAAAAAAAAATTATTATGATTGCTTAACAAGGATTAGAATTAGAGTTAAGAAAGAAATTCGAATGAATGAGGTTCAAAGATATATATAAATCGGGATTAAGCGCTTTAAGAAGCTAATGAAAGAAATAAAAAGGAAAATCCTAATTTATGGAACTAATTATCAAGAAACAGTGGATGTGGATATGGATATAACAAAGTTTGTAATTAGTAAACCTATAGTTGTGATGTACTTACTAAAAATAATGTTAAAACTTTAAAGTCTTCATCATAACCTAATTCTAGACGTCCTATGATTTTTTATTTTTATGAAAAAAATGTTTTTCCTTTCAAAAAAATCTAAAAATTAAAAAAATTAAAAAATATTCTGGATCACTAACAAACAAGGTTTTAAGTAACAGTTGGCGAGAACATCAGGTGTAAAGACAATTAGTGTTTTCTTGATGAAAAATAACTGAAATTGGATCTTGTTGCATAAATTAATAATTAAAAAGACCAAAATGGACAAAATAAAGAAGTTTAAGAATTCAATTGTATCAATAGAGAGCCTAAATGAAGGAAATACATTAAAGATTATGACTTAGTCTAAAAAAAATATTGAAGATTGGGATGAATCTACAAAATTTTAAAGTCTAAGGAATTAATTAAACTTTTTATGCACTTAATAAAAATTTTAAAGTCTAAAGAATTAATTAAACTTTTTATGCACTTAATAAACTTAATCAGAGGTTTAATTGGAATAAATTTAATATGTGAATTCAATTTAACCAAAATAAAAGGAATAAAAAAGTTCCAAAACCCAATAAAACTTTGGATTGACTTAATTAATGTAATCAAGGAAATAATAAAAAACAATTCAAAGTTTAGAAGGCAATTCAGGTCAAATTTACAAGGGCTAAAAACTTATGGACCAAGATGAAAATAAACTAAAATTATATACTTAATTAATTTAATTAACGATGCAATTAAAAAAATTAAAAGTTTGAACGACCAATTAAAGATAAAATGAAAGAGTTTTAAAATAAATGACCAAAGTGTAAAAGATGTCAATAGTCAAAGGTCCAGTTAAAATAATAGAGATATAATTAAGAGGATTTTCAAATATTAAGATCAATTGAGAACTTTATTTTGATGTTTAAAAAGGTTAGCGATTGGAATTAAAATGGAAAAATTAAACTTTGATTTTACCCTTTAATAGATGGCTCGTCCATTGATTGTTTTTAAACCTAAATCGAGTGATTTGTCATCTAGCCATTGTTTATCTACTTTCTCAAATAAAATCTCGAAAAACATGGCTAGGTTGCCACATTTCAATATCTATTTCACCCTTATCCTACCATTAAACCACACCAAGATTCTTTCAATTAACGATTATGATCACCGCCAGCAATTCCAACCACTTAAATCTTTTTTTTGCGTCCTCAAGTTGCTCTCATAACACTACAAAACCTCTTTTTTAATAGTCCAAAATATGAGATTTTTTATATGCTCCCCTCACCAACTGCAGAGGAGGATAAATTTTTCTTTTTAGATGTAATAAATGGTTACAATTTTATCTTGAACATCAAAGGTCAAGAAATTCTCATGTCACAACCTTTAGACCTTTTCTATCATCCTATATAAAAAATCCACAACAAAACCTTAACTAGAAGAGGGGAGGGGGGCATTAGATTAAGATCCTTATACAAAAACTCTAAAATCCTTAGAAAGTTTTTAGTGTTTAAAAACTTTAGATTCAACTATTTAAGATTCTTGTGAAAAGACTGATACTGACTCTTTACTCAAGAAATTGAGTAATAACTTTTGAAACTTTTGTGAGTATTCGCTGTTTTTTTTTTAAATACTTAAATTTTAATCATGAATATTAAATATGAGGGAGCAAAATATATAAAAAAAAATTACAAATAAATTATTTGAAGGCATAAAAATGAAATAATTAAAAAAAACGAGGGTTATGATTAGTAAACATTAAAAAAAGAGAAATACAAAGTTTGAAATTTTAATAGGGACACGCTTGCCGAGTAAGCATTAATGACCCATATAAATGCATTTTTCTTTGATAAATTTTAACTTTGTCAAACACAATCTTAGCGCAACCTAATCATGTGGACTGGACTTCTTAACCTTGGCACAAATCCCATACTAAAAATCAAATCCACCTCAAGGCCCATGATGAACTCAAGCTTTGTTCAAACCAAAAAAGGGGGCTGGGCATTAAAAAAAAAGAAGAAAAGAGAGAGAGAGAGAGAGAGAAGCATAATAGCAGTGAATTACAATGGAAAGAAAACTATGCCTGTCATGGCAGTAACAGTTTAGTAGCCATGGCTTCTAAAAGAACAGCCTTTATCTTCTGAAATTGATTACTTGGGAAAGCTTTGAGCAAATCATGATAACGAAATCAACAACCACTAGGACAGTTGCAGTGAAAAAAAGTTTGTTGCCCATGGCATTGTTGCTGCTGTCAGGTGCCGTTTCTCACGGTTGAAGATGTAACTACTGTGGCTTTCGGCTGGAACAAGGGAGATAGGGCTGCTTGGTTTATGTGAGGATGAACTGAAACTGCTGGTCTCGGCTTATCAACGCATTGAAGCTGTGTGCTGGTGCAAAGGAGAGCTTCTGAACGTTGCTTCAATGGATGTTGAGAGTGTGCACAGCTGCGCTGCAGCTTTTGGAGGAGTGCACGCTGGACTGCTCACTGTTGGTGCTGGTGCAGAGCTTGGAGCAGGATGAAGCTGATGGAGAGGACTCCTACTTACGTTGGAACCAGAGAGATATGACGTGACTGATGAAGAAGACTCCAGCTAGTCCTAATTGAAACCAGTTCTGTAGATGATGTTCTCCGCTGGAAAACAAAACTGCATATGCCTGGAGAGAAACCCTTGTTGCTTGCTCACGGTGGGATTAGAAGTTGCTGGTCTGAGAGGTTGTGAGAGATGTTGCTTATGGTAGTAGCTTGCTGAGGAAGACTTCTGAGAGGAAAAGTTATTTTCCTCCAAACCAGTCACAGCTCCCTTCTTTTCAGTAACACTAGTCACAACTTTTTGTGTTTGTCTGTCTTTGAAAAACTTGGGGGAGACGAGTTGAAGTCTTGGTCCAAAACCAAAATAAATGCCATAAAGAGGGAAGGTCCTCTCCTAAAAAAATGGAAGAGCTATCTGTAACTTTTTATGTGTTCTGGTGGCGTGGCTCACAGGTTTAAAGGTGGAAATGGTTTTGCTGCTTGTACAATTAAGGATCAAAGAAAATGGGGCGGGGGCTGGTTTTCTAGGTTGCTGAAGATGATGGAGGAGGAGGCACGGCGGCTGGTACTAGGGTTTTTTTTTTCGGTTTTGGAGGGGGGGGGTTGTATGATTTGAGGGGTGTTTCTAGGCTTGTTTTTAAGGCTGGAAAGATCAAGGAATAAGTTTGTTGTAATCTTGGCTGGGTGAGATTTTTATATGAGAAGCATGGAAGTTTTAGGGCTCATAGGTTAATGGAATAAATCTCAACCATCCATTAAAGCTGAGGATAAAATCTTGTTGCTTTGTAACTGATGAAGGAAGGATAAAAGGTTTATTTTGTAGGCAGAATAGTGTTTTTGAGAGAGAATCTGTAAGTGTTTTAATGCAATAGAATCTGGAGTTTTTGTTTAGAGTGAAGTTCAAGTGTCAGGAGGTAAATTGTCATGAGATTTGCGTGGTTTGGCGAAGAGGTGAGGGAAAAATTGGAGCTGAAAAGTGGTTACTTCGACATCTTTTTCTTTGGTTGTTAGGGACAAGAATGAATAATAGTTTTTTTTTTTTTTTTAACTTTGTCCCTGAACCTTGAGAACTTTGCAATAGAACCCATATCAGCCTTAATTTTTAAAATTTCTTGCAATTTCACCCTTAGTCTTCTTCAATTAGACCCTCAAATTTCAACATTTTTTACCAAGTGATTCTTAGTTTCAGGTTTCTTCAATTTGATCCTTGATTGAACTTTATACTTCAATTTTTTTTCAATTAATCCATTGATTGCACCAAATTAACCTTTCAAAGTTTTAATTGTGTCCTTAATCTTCCAAGCTTTGTGAACTAATACAAATTAGACCTCTAAACTAGATTTTTCTTCAATTGAGTCCTTAATCGAATTCAAAAAACCCATTAAAAGTTTAATTATTCTTTAAACTTAATTAATAGTTTAATTTTTCTTCAATTGACTTTTAAACTTAGTTTTTACTTTAATTAAGTCCATAATTAAGTGAAATAAGTATGTTAGAAGTTTAATTAAGTCCTTAAAATTAATTAATTCTTTCAATTTTAGTTAATTTTGGATTTCAACTTCAACTGTCTTTTTGTTAAGTATTTCTTGAACTTGTCTTATCAAAATATCACAATCTGATTATTCTTTTGGTTTTTTGACCTATTGCAACTCAAATACTTATCTTCTCGTGTCTCGAAAATATTTTTAAATTTTTGATTTCTGATTTTTTGAATAAAAATGTATTTTTATAAAATAATTTTAGAGAATCCAAAATTGATTTTTGATAACACATGTGACTCTTCAAACTATGCTATTCAAAATTGGGTTTTGAATAAATAATAATTTTTTAATTGAGTTATTTCCTTAAGAATTTTTTTCTAATGTGATACTTTGAAAGAAAAAAAAAATCTTACATATTATCAGGGGCTACGTCAGAGGGCATCATTTTAGCCATTTGAGAGGTGTTAGAGAAAGAAAGGTTTTTGGATATAATCATAAAATTATAATTATAAAGTTCAAGAGTCGTCACCTAGTATTATAGTTACTAAAAAACTTATGGTATGTGAGAATTTGGATAAGAGGTTTGTTATTCAAGGAAAAGATGCATCACCAGTGCACCTTACATAAAGTAAGTTGTATTGTTGTTTGATTGTTTTTCTAGGTTGTATTTATATCCATTGATATTTTTCTAAGGTCGAAGACAAATCTTTCTTCGTAAGAGGTTTATACCTTATTGTGTGTAATCCTAGCCATTTTAAAGTCTAACTTGTAGCATCACATTTATTTCCTAAATATAACTAGTTCCTGGCATTCTGAATAGAAGAATTGTTATGGATTTTTTATATTTTGGTCAAACCCTGATGGATAATTCTGAATTGTTATGGATTTTTTATATTTTGGTTAAACCCTGATGGATAATTATAAACTAGTTATGATATCTATTTTTTTAAAAAAAAACTAGTTATGATATCTATTTTTTTTTTTTAAATATATGATAAAAATATTATGATTTTTATCTTTTAGGAAATATGCCTGGAAAAACTTTTAGGATTTGACACTATTAAAAACAAAATATTTTTTTAAATGAATTTTTTAAATTTTTTTGAAATTTTAGAGGAAAGTGAGTATTTTTAATATCAGATCTATATCTTACAGTGTAAGTCTACAACTTGATATTATACAAAATTATTGAAAAAACATGCAAGGGACCCATAAATATTTTTAAAATGACCTACAAAATTTTTGGAATTTTTTTATAATATTAAATTATTATTATTATTGTTAAATATATTGAGTTGGGTCGGCCTAACTATCTAGGCTAAACTCAACCAGATCTGGCCTGACTAGCGGCCCAACAAATCTAGCCTCTTTTTTAAGTTGGGCTGGGCAGGTCCAGCCCAACACAACTTAGTCATTTGCCTAGCTTAGTGCTTAAGTTATGTGAATAATAGAATGTGAATTATATTTTACATTCATTGTTCATATGCAGCTTGAAAGTAGAAGAAGGGGGAGAAAAAGAAGAAGAGAAGGGGAGACTACTTGGTATGAAAGGAGTGGTTGATTGGTTTAGCTATCAATTGGTGGCAGAGGTGTTGGTGTAGACGTTGGTGGGCAATGTTGGCTGCTGAGGGGTGAAGAAGGAGAAATAGTTAGTGTGGTTGGAGCTATTGTTGTTGTTGGTGTTAGAAAAGGAAGAAACTAAAATGGTGGTAATTTTCGGTCTACTGGTGTTGCTGTCGTTGTTGCCAATAACTAGAGGTTGAAGATGTAGAGATTGTTGCTAGTCTAGGAGGAAGAAAAGGAAACTTATAGAGGAGAGAGAAGCTCATAGTGGCTACTCTCAACATGAGGTGGCCGGTTGGTGGTCATGTTAGAGAATTGGGGTGGAGTTCTCGATGAAATAGACAGTGGTGAGGTGGTTGTAGAAGTAGAAGTCGTGGCGGCGGAGGAAAAAACAATAATGGTAGATAAAATATTGGGGGAAGGGTTTTGTAAACTTTGAACTTGATTCTCTTCTCCCTCAGGTCATGAAATCCACGCTTATTTATAGGGGATGGAAGATAAACATTTTTTCTTTAATAATATCAAATCTTGGCCCTTGATTCAATCCAGAAAGATCTTAATCGTTAGTTCAAAGTTGTTATTGTGGCCTAAAACATTATTGCAGAAGGGCTGGTTGGGTTGGTCATTTTGAGACGGTGTCACAACAGCTATAGTTTCAATCGATCAGAAAGGACACTACTAAGGTGTAGTCAGATGTCAAGCCATTATTTGTATTCAAATTTTTTCAAATTTAGTGGAAAGATGATGTATTAAATGCCTTGAAAAAGAGGCTACCAGAACAACTTTTTTGACTTAGATAAAGAAAAAGACGAAAAGTCATTAGACGACGCGTTGTCTGGTCTTTTTTTTTTATTATTATTGTCCAAAAAGGCGCTATTTTGGACTTTTTAGGGTTTTAATTTAGGATTTTGGTCACAGTTTATTTTGATCTTTCATCTTTTAATTTCTTTCAATTACAACCCTAATTAACCATAAACTTTTAATTTTACGTAATTTTTCCCTTATTGAACTTCAATGTAATTCCTGAATTTTATTGTCCTTTTTCACATTAGTTATTAGTACTAAATTTATGCAATTTGACTCTTAATTAATCATTAAATTTTTAATTTTTTTTAATTTCACCCCTAAGTTCAATCAATTGAGTCCTCATAGTTCCATGTCTTTTACAAAATAATCATTGGCTGTAAATTTTTTTAATTTAGCCCTTAATTGACCTAAAAATTATAATTTTCTTATAACTTTACCCTTGATTTGAACTAATTGACTCTGTAGAAATTAAGTTTGGTCTCTTAAAATTTCAATATTTTTTATTAAGCTCAAATTAAGCTTCTAAACTTAATCTTTCACCAATTAAGCCCCTAATAAAATTAATTTGACTCATTTAAAGTATAATTAAGTTCTTGCATTTAATTAAATCCTTAAATGAGACCCAAATTAATTCTTAAACATAATTAACTTTAATTTGGCCTATAATTAAATAAAATTATCCTATTAAAAATATAATTATGTCGTTGACTTAATTTCATGTAAATTGACCTTGAATTTGCGCTATCTTTCTAGTTTTGGATAAAATAAGGTATAATTAGGCTTCCGATTTCATCCAAAATTCTAGCTTCTTTTTTTTTTCTACATTTAAAATCCTCCTAGCTTGCTTTTGCCAAAATGTAAATCTTTTATATTTATTAAACTTAGTCACTTCACAAGTTAAATATCACAACTCCAGTTTTGATAAAAAAACTTAGCAATAAATTGATTAGAATATTAACTTAGAATCAGCTCTAACAATAAAGCTAAACAATCATATTAAATAAGTATAAAAAGAAAAAATAAGAGAAAAATACTTTCAAGTTGAAAAGAAAATTTGACTTAAAAAACATATTTGTTTTATTTTTTCATGAAAATACTGTTCAAAAAAAAAAAAAACCAAGATGAAATGATTTTTTTTTTAATTTCATCCTCCTTCAACATTTACATTTGTCATATTCAATCCCTTCTTTTAATAAACTTAAAATAAATAAAATATTAATAAGTTAAAAACTCTTTTTTAATTTATTTTCATGAAATTGTAAAAAAAAAAAATTAACTTCGTAAGAATTTATTTTCTATGAAAAAACCACTTCAAAAAAAATAATAATAATAATCCGAGTCCCACCTCGCAGCTACTCCCATGTGCAAATATGAATGAAGCACAAAATAAAATCACAGATATAAAATCCTTTAAAAGTTGTAATTGACGTGTAATGGTCCCAGCAAAAGAACATGGGGGCGGGGGGCATAGCTGATAGCTGTCATTTCTTGTGGGGTTTGGATGTTTAACATTGCATTGCATTACAAATCGTTCTTAGGACCACAAAACAGATACAAATACATTACGCAAGAAATCTCCTCCTGAAAAATGTCCTGCTTCAGAGGAGGAAAAAACAGAAGGGAAAGGCACGTTCAAGAGATAATAAGTTATTCATTAAAAAAACAAAAAAATCTGAATAGGGAAACAATTAACGGGATGAAGAAGCATGCGCAGAGGACAATGTCTTTAGGTGATGAGTTCGGCTGTTCGACCTGTTCCTGCTTTTCTGCCCACCCCCAACACTGCCCCTGTGCATACTGGAGATTGAACTGCTGGAGGTCACTCTCTTCACTGCTTTTTTCCGATAGCTCCTGCTGCTGCCAGTTCCAAGGGCGGCTCTAGCAACACTATCTGTGAGAACTTCTCGCGCTCTCTGTGGTTTGATGGGTTGCTTGTTCAGGTACACTAGCTTAGGAAGGAGACCACAAATTGCCTTGCGAAGCTGGTCATCACTGATGTTGCTCTGAATTGGATTGCCCAACAGATTCAGAGCTTGCAGTGAGTTGTAGTGCGCAACAAGCTGGCCCAGAGCTTTTGTTGTCGTTATCTTGTTAAAGCTCAAGTCCAAGACTGTAAGCTTCAGGAGCCTGTGCAGCCCCTCAACATCACTAATCTTGTTTCCAGCAAGATAGAGTTCCTTTATTATTGTACAGTTTGACAACCCTGATATGTAAATCCAGAATGAACATATACAACCATATAATTAATTGGGGAAATATTATTTCTCGTGAAAGAACTGCATGATTTAAAATGGCTCTAGTAGCATGTGTTTTCTTCGAATTAAATACCTTGTCCAAGCCGAGAAATGCGATTGTAACTGAGATCGAGTACCCGCAATCGGATGAGATCTCTGAGTCCTTCAATAGTGCCGATCCTGTTTTTCGAAAGGTTGAGTGTGTGAAGGCCCTTTGGCAGTGATCCAGGAGTAATGTGGACTGCAAACAGGGGTAGAAGAGATGCAGCATGTTATTACCATGATGTTCCTTTTAACAATTGACATCTTGCTTCTGCTAAAAGCATACCTATGACATTGTTTGACAAGTTCACAGATCGAAGACTGGAGAAATGTGATATGGTGGGAATAGCTTTTAAGCCAATGCCTGCAATGTGGGCTACAGTTGAGGATGAATTAAGTGACTGGATCACGCTATTGGCATGCAAAATCTCCTCTGAGAAATTAAAATCTGGGCATGCCGTGGTTCTTCCTGGTGATCTACCAGTATCAGGAGAGGGTAGGAAAACAATGCCATCGTCACTCTTAACATCATTGTTATCATCATGGGCATCTGGAGGAGGGGGTTGGGTCTCAAGATCTTCGACCCATTTATTCACTCTTGAAAATGGAGATGACTCTATTGAGAAAGCAACCCACTGGTTCTGGGGCCATAGACCAGAAATCCCAGCATGAAAACCATTCCAGCTCTGACTGTCCTCTCCATTGTTGTTATGGCCCTTGTTCATTGACTCCCTGGTGAACGAACCAGGTGATTGCATTTTGCTCAGGGCTCTGTCTAGTTCAAGTGTATCTGAAGAGTAGCCGCCTTGCTGATTCAAAACCTTACTTACAGCCTGTGGCTGTGGTTTTACATACCAGGGTTTGTGAAGATTTCTGTGGCTCCAGAGGAACAATTTCCACCAGAGTCTTCTACTCCTAGAGGGTAGAACTTGGCTTGAAGAATGCTTCTTTAACATCACTCTGTCGGCACTGCAACGGCTTATTATAGATGTGGGGCTGCCAGGATCTCTCAATTTCTCAGCCAGTCCCTGCAATTCTTCAGAATACTGAGATGCTAGAGGCAGCTGATTGGCAATTTTTCTTAGGAATTTGCTTGTTTCCAGATTAGAACAGGACCGTTTAAGCTTAGGCGAACCCCAAAACTCAGCCTTCCCAATACCAGGATCACTAACATGTCCACTTTGTATGACATCAATACCTTTTTCATCAACTTTTTCCTCATCATTCTTTGCATACCGTTCATTGCCCATTCTATCAAGTGAATCAGAGGAATCCAGCCTTGCACTTATCGGAAAAGACACTTCTTCACCAGAATTGGCCACATGGGATTGGAGATCAAGGTCAGATAAGTCCCTCTTCAGTGAAACATCCTCTTCAAGCTCATCTTCTCCTTCATATGCTGCTTCATTCACAACAGGACTCTGATGGCTCATCACCTGGACATTGATTGAGTCCTTCTCAACATCTAAAGGAAATGACACACCAAAAGATGTGCTTTTCAACCCATCGCTTTCAAAAGGTTCCACTGGGTGCTGAAGCCTGATATTCAGGGTTTTAAGCGCAGTGTTGATGTCAGCTGTTCTTGATGATTGCTTATCAACCTAAAATCGAACAAAAGAAAGTTACAGGAGGAAGCACATCAAAAGCTCCAAAGAAGAGTAAAACAGCAAACTTCACCTAATCTATATTCCAATCAATTCTCACCTTCTCGTTCTTCTTCCTCCCAATCCGACAAGAGAAGCAGTTAAATTTCATCATTTTGGGAGAGAGAGAAAATGACCAAACTCAAATTTCCGCAAAAGGAGCTCGAATGAGATGTGCACTACTCCTGATTTATCCTTTTTCTCCTTGTTATTCTATTCTGCCTCTTCTTCTTCTATCATCGAAGTGTTAAAATTTATGTTGTCGATGGTTACATCTCCAAATACTATAGAGTAGAGTAGACGAGATAGAAGTTGATTGGATGATCAAATGTTAACCGTAATCGACGGGAAGTCGCCAAACCAATGACCGAGCAAAGTAGCCAAATAATGATGAGGAGAATGGTGTTGGTGTTGGTGCTGGTGCTGGTGCTGGAGGACTGGGAAACAAAGGTTGAATACTCGCTCCGGTTTGAGCAAATATCACTAAAGTGTCGGCCAGAGTTATCTAAGCAGCAGCTTCTCTCCAGAAGCTTCACAGAATCTTTCTTCAAAACTTTCCCTGATATGCGCAATAAATTCAATTAAACGAAACAACCAAAGAGAGAAAATTTCAGACCCATTAAACAAAACATCTAGATATGTTTAAATAAATTACAGACCCCCTTAAGTCAAGGACTAATAAGCTCCATTGACGGAGAATTTCTGAAAATCCCATCAATCAATATGGGAAAAAAAAATAAAAAATTCCTTTCTCCACCCCTCGTTCACCAATTAAAGATGATTTTTCAAGCTTGATTCACAAAGCACTCACTCTTATGCGCAGTTAGAGAGATAATTCTTTAAGATTTAAGGCGGATTCGGGCAATGAAAAAGAGGAAAGAGTAGAAACAATACCTGTTGAAGCTGAAAGGAGCCAGATTTGAACGGCAAAGCACAGGGAGGAATATTACAGTTTCAGTATGGAACCTTGAAAGAACATCTCAAGCTAGTTTCAATAAATTAAATTACAGAGAGCAAAACAAAACCGAGAGAGAGAGGGAGGGAGGGAGGGAGGGAGAGAGAGCGTTGTTGATGTGGTTGTGGTGGTTGGGAGAAACTAGAAGGAAAGCAGAGGAACTGAAATAGACCGTGATAATAATGATGAGGAGCGGAGGAGGAGCGTTTTAAGGTTGCTTACCTCTTTGGTGGCTGGTGAAGCCGCATTAGACAAGACAAAGTACGCGCATGTTACACGGCTTTGGTGTAAGCTAACCTCTTACTACTATTCGCTTTATAAAAATGAATTGTTGACTTTATACTATTTATAAATTTTGTAATCTCATTAGTCACCAGTTATAATCTCAATTCATATTCCATTCCATAATAAACTATAACATACTAAATTATTAGTACATGCTACGCTGGAGATTATATTAAAAAATAAAACATCAGAAAAATATTAAAGAATAGTTAATTTTTTTAAAAAAAATTAAATTGTGTAGAAATTAATATAATGTAATCCAATTTTCTTAACGAATTTAAAGATAGATGCCTAATGAAAAAAGTAATTTGATTTAAAATAAATATTTAAAATATAATTTTTATATAAAAATATTGAGATAACAATATATTGAATCAATTCTAATCAATTTAAGTTAACTTATCAATTTACAGATCGAGTTATCAGATCATGATGATTATATAGAAAATAAATCAAAACAAATTATGAAGTTCAATACTCAATCAATCTAGTTTTGAAATATTAAATTAAAAAAATAATTAAAAATAATTTTTAAAAATCATATAAAAATTGACTCGAATCAACTAGGGTTAACTTTTTAAACTCATGATCCAAGTCATGAAATGAGAATAACACCATAGAAAGAAAAATAAAATAAATCATGAAGGCTAATTTTCTATTACCTAATATTGAATGATGAAATTGAAAAAAAAATCAATTAAAAAAATTAGAGTCAATCTATAAAACTTGTAGCTTGGGTCATGAGTCTTAAATAACCTCATTAGAAGTAAATTGAAAAAATTATGAAAGTTCAATCTCCAATAAATATAATGTTGAATAATGAAATTGAGAAATAAAAAACAAAACATTATTATAGTGAATAGCATTTTAATAATCCAATTATCAAGACAACATATCATTCATAATATAGGAAAAGACATAATAAATTTTTTAAAATAAAAAAATTGAATTTATACAAAAGTCCATCGAAATTTCAGTTGAGTCTTTTCTATACCGAGAAATCTCAAGTTATCGACAACAACCTATTACACTTTTATTAATCACTATCCAATTGATTAGTACTTAAAAGTGCATTTTTATCATGGTTTTATATCATCATTTTGCACTTGAAATATCATTTTGCACTCTTTAACTCTTTGTTTATAATAATATATCTAATAATATAAGATACCTTT